AAACATGAGGAATTTCATTTAAGGACTACAAGAGCCTGACAAGATTATTAAATAACCAAGAAGTCAAGGGGTGATCACTGGCTTTTACACTCTGAGTGACATTATTATGGCCAAATGATATTTGAGACTGGCTGGATTGAACTTGTCCACTGAAGGGCTTGAGCTTTGCCCTTTGGTTACAGCAGCCATGGATATCACGTATGTAGGAACATATCTTGAAGAACAGTGATACCCAAGGAAGTCAAATACATGAAGCAAAAATAAGAATGTGCTTTGACCAGAGATAGATCAGTGGGGATCCTGAATCTCACACCAAGGGTTTTTTTCTGAATGCAAGCTGCTTTTGGTAAAACAGTTTCCACTGTTGACCAGGTACAGGAGTTGATGGCTTGACCCCATCCTAAGCTTTCTGTCCAGCCTTGAAAATGCAGGCCAGAAGGCAACAGGCAGACGAGCTTCCTGTATTGGTGGCAGCAAACACACCTGACATCTGTAATGAGCAGAGGGCAGATGAATCCTATGTGCGTGTGTGATATTAGTGAGCCAAAAGCAGAACACTGACAAAGCATATGCAGAAATCCTGACCTCTTTAGCAGCCTCCTGTGTGCCAGCATGCACCTGCCTTTTCTGTCTGTATGAATTTTGCTCAGAGCATCCCTGGAACCCTATTCTGCATGCCATCTTCCTGTGCTCAAGAACAAGTCCTAGTAAAGCCTTGCTCAGATGTTGTCATTTGCCTCCTAGTGTTTTCCATCTCAAGCAAAAGAATCCTTGGATGAGCTGATAACACCAAAAGATGGTAGTGTGAAAAGGATCTGCACATTGTCTTTCTGACATCTGTATCAAAATGTTCTACAGCAAAAGATTAACAGCAAAGCCATCAAAGGTCTCTCCCAGCAGCAAGTAAACAGAGTTTATAAGGTAACTGCCAAAGTTGGAAGGTTCTGGAGCTGAGCATTTTTCCAGATAACTTATGGACCTTGTAAGGGCCTGACTTGACTCATGCAAGGAGATAATTTAAAGTCAGTAAATTATAACAACATGCAAACTAGACACTGGGTAGAACGATGAATGGGATATACCTCCCAAAACTTTTTTAGTAGGAACAAGGGGTGGGTGAAATTTAAAAATAACATGAGTTTTTCTGCTCTATCATCATCATGTTTGGAATGGCTATTATCAGCACAGTAAAAACACTTGGCTCTTTAGTAGCAAGAATAAGGAAGGCCACTGCTAACACATCACAGTTGCAGAATGAGGAAAGGGGGCAGGATTAAAGGCCCCACTGACCCTCCTTGGCCAGGCGTCACTATCCATGGAGTAACTGCAGACACTACTGGCAGAGCCTATGTTCAGGAATGCATTAGAGCAGGGCAGACAATAGGGAAAATAATGCATATTTAAGTCACATCTAACTCTAAGAGAACCTTAGAGCAATCAATCTTTTTTAAATAAGAAAGAAACTAAGTCAATAGCATGTGAGTAACAGATGAGAATTAAAGCAAAATCTGTTGGCTAATGGTAACAGCTTTTGTGTTCTCTGTTGCTGAGAGTGTGCTGTAGCAGCGACTCCAATATGCTCACCAACGCAGATGCAAAAGGCTATGGAAAACAGTTGCTATTTTTATACCAAAGATAAAAATCCAACATCACCTCTCAGTTCTTAATTTTGTTAGTGCAGTGAAAGAGAACAAAAGGCAGGGTGCTGTGTGTCTAGAGGATCCAGGGCCTGTGGCTCCCAATACGTGGAGATAGGGAGCATATTGGGAAAAGGAAGAGCTGGTCCTGTCTTGTGAGCAATAAGAACATGGAGCTACCCACGTAAGAGAAAATACAGTCAGTGTCTAACTTGGTGACAGTCTCGGAAACAGGCCCTGTGAATCTTTAGTAGTTTTTATATTTACAGATTATTGTGGCTAAATCATTTTTGTAGTTTTTTTCTTTAATACCCTAAAGAGGAAACTTGTCCTTATAAATTACCGTGACATTGTAAAAGCAGTAATAATACTTACGATAATGACTGTGCTGGTTTCCTTTGATACTGTAAGCAATTAGTACAATCTTAGGGGCTTGAATAATGCATCTTGGTGAAAATTCAGGGGCTGGCCAGAGGGAAGCCATCTCCTTAGCCTTTACCGCTCATGCAGGCCGCCCATATTCCTTGCCTCATGCTCATGTCCCTCTATTTTCACAGCAATAATGCTGCATTATTTTCCACCATGTTTGCTTCTCATGCCCTCCATTTCTGCCTGTAAGACCCTGAGACACTTGGCTCTCTGAAGAAACTCAGGACAACTGCCTTATCTCAGGGCCAGCAGAAAGATGTGTCTCACTGACAGTCATTAGACTACACTTCATGTAGCGTACTATTAGGGCACTACTTTAGGCTGAGCTCCTAAAGAAGGCTAAAAAGCAGAATGTGGTACTTGTGCTAGGTGTTACATGATCAAACTAAACTTAGACATGGGCAAGTTTTCAAAACATCAGAATGTTCAAAGATCAGAAAAGATCCTATCACCCTGAGACACCATGGTAAGGAAGTTCCTTCTTCTATAACTCTGGAAGAAAGCTGTTAATCATGGCCAATCCACTTTGTGTTCCTTGTTTCTGATTTCTTCATCCTTTTGCTATTTATAAAGTCCACACCTTCTGCTTAGGTATCTAAGTGTCTTTCTTCTGTAGGTGAGATATGGCCTCATTCACAAAATAGTAACATAAGGTTTGATCTTTAAATTTCAAATCTTATTCTTTGATAGTCAAATAATTTCCAGGGCATCATACCTGCTAAGGTAATATCATGAATTGAATAAGAATACCCCCTTTAGGTTCACATGTTTGAATACTTTGTAGTTGGCAGAACTGTTTAAGAAGGAACTAGGAGGTGTGGCCTTGTTGGAGGAAGTGTGTACCTGGAGGTGGCCTTTGAGGTTTCAATCTTTTGAATTCTGCCATTTTTAGTGTTCTCTCTGTTTTCTGATTGTAGTTTTAATATGTGAACTCTTGGCACTTTCCGTCACTATGCCTTTGTAACACCATCATGGACCCTAGCCATCTGAAGTCTATTTAAACACTTTCTTTTATAAGTTATATTGGTCATGATGTTTTATTATGGATCTCTGTGACTTTGAGGCCAGATGGGTTTTCAGAGCAAGGACAGCTAGGACTACACAGAGAAACCCTGTTTTTACCTCCCCCTGCCCCAAAACAAAAAAAATTTTGAGGGGTGGCATTGTTTGAACAATGGATATGCAATAGGTTGGTTCAGAGCTGTCTACACTATTTGTGTCCCTTAAATGTTACTTTCCAGTTCCTAAGGTGCATGCATGAGTGCACACTTGCGTGCACACACACAGAAAAGAAGAAGAAAAGGAAGGAAAAGATGGAATAAAATAATTGAATTTTTTTATATTTAAAAATATCAGTTGAAGATTTGACATTGAAAACAACTAGTATCCTGTATTCCCCAGCATTTTTAAGAGATAGATATTCTAAAGGTCTCACACAATATGGTTAAATTTATTATATGTTATCTCTCCTTCATAGAAAAAAGGATGGAGATGGATAGATCTGATAGTGAGTTTTAGTAATAAAGTAATGAAATGGGTACCTTTACCTTATTTCCTGTACCCTAGACACAAGCTACAAGAAAATCCTCTGAGAATTAGGAAGTGATTTCATAAATTTGTCTACTTTGTGATGAGCAAATATTTTCTGATCTTCTGCCCGAACACAATGGCAAAGCTCAGGGGAATGCTGAGAGAGTCTGGGAAGTCCTTCTAGGTATCAAGGCAAGCTGATGCCTGAGTCACTTTGGAGGAGTCTTAGGAAGCAAGGCTGGTGTGACAGCCATGTCATGGGCAGAGGGGAAGGGACAGCAGTGGAAACATGCTGCCCTGGAGTGGTTTGAAGGAGTAAGAGATTGGTGATTGTAGCAGACCAGGTAGATGCTGCTGCAGGTACTATGTAGTTACAGCCCTCTCTGCCTGCATCCAAGATGTTGGGGTAGATGCTGTTGTCGCTGCTGTTATATAGTTAATGCCTCTTTGTCTTTATATAAGAAGTCGACCAGTTTGGGTAAGGAGACTCTAGGCACACTGTCTAAAGTCAGGGGCTAAGGGCAAGCAACCCTTAGGTAGTCAACCGTGAAAGTGTTCTATACCAGCAGCATCTGATAAAGAGCTTCATGAACAACCCACAAAGATGCTCACTCATAAAGGACACTTGGTCAGTTTGTCCCACCTAAATAAGTTAAAACATTTTCCAGTGCCCTTCCCCTGCACATGTCCACAGAAAAGGGAGTGATGCCCAGGAAGGAGATATATTTTGGTTTACATTGGAGTAGTTGTGCAAACCTCTGGGCAAATGAGCAGAAATCAGTCTAGGATACCAAAATGTAGAGGAGACAGTTTCAACAGAGTGGGTTTTGGAGGATGGCTGTATGAGAGGAACCAAATTGTGTTCTGACTATGTGCTCAGTGCTCTGAGCCACTGAATCCACTATATGTGACATCTTCTCTCCCATATCTCCCATCCTGCAGGGCCCTCAGAAAGGTATGGTGTTAGCCTCAGTCTGAAAGGAGGGGAGAAAAGATGTAGGAAACCTATGGCTGAGACATGGAAGATCATAGGTCAAGGCCAGGATCCTACAGCCCTAATCCCAGGTACTTTGCAAGTGCGACATGGTGCCTTTGTAGGTGACAGCTACTATGTTGGGGACCCGAGACACACTTTCCATGCTTTCCTAAGTGTTGGCATTTTTTGACAACAGTTTTATGACAGTTGCAAGTCATCAACACAAGGTTCAGGGGAGACCCAAAAGGCTTTTTTTTTTGCCTTCTTCACACACAAAAAATACAGTTATAGCCTTGACTTTTATGAATATTTTGCTTTTATGAATATAGCTGAAGATGAGAGAAATCTTGAACCTTTTCCTGAGCACACACAATGGCATGGTTTAGCCAGGAGAAACAATGCTAAGTGCCTTTGCAGCAGGCCCTTACCTTAGCATAGCACCGAAGCCCTTCCTCTTCATTTTCCTCTCTGCATCCTCATGTTCCTCCTTCTGCTTCTTTTCCTTGACTTTCTGCTTGCCCTTTCCTTTTTTCTTCTCCTTCTCTTTTGTTTTTTTGACGTTCTTGGCTTTATTTTCCACATCGTCTAGCTCGGGGTTTCCCTGAGGGGCAGACTCACAATTCAGAGCTGCGTGGCCTGAGCGAGAGCTCTTATCAGACATACCATCTGTAGAGAGAAAAATCAATACCAGTGGTCAGGGGCACTTACCGCTAGTATATCTAAAATACGTCAAAATGTAAAATACAGAAGGAATAGAAGTACTCCGTGTGCTACCGAACCACGTGGCTACTCGTACCCTTTGAAGATAGGATTTCTCTGCCCTGAGTACTTCAAGCAAGGTCTCAGGCTAGGAGTGGGCCACATTGTTTGCTAGCTGGTAGCACAAAAGGCTTGAAATGTGCTAAAGCAGTAATCTCTCTGAAAGCTAGCTTGTTAACCTTGATCAGTTCAGAAAGCCCACATGCTGGGAAACAAACAGGGTAGGTTTCTTTCCAAAAGAGGTTTTTGAGTATAAATATAACCCACTGCTTCTACACAATTAATGCAGTCAGTCCTCTGGTTGATGTTGCTTTTAATGATTCAAATAAGAATGCCAAGAAATGCACGCTTAGTGCTCCTGCCCTAAGGGTAAATGACAGTTGGTCCTTCTAAAAAAGTGAAAGAGAAAATTTTTTTTCAGTTTGTGCTGTGAAATAAATTGCACATTGCATCTTCCAATCCAATGTTCCTTAAGCCAAAGGGCAAAACATACCAGGAAAATGAATTACTTTTAATATCAAAAATATAATTGTGATCCTTAAATCAATTTTTTCAGTAGTTAAGTGCACATTTTCGCTTACAATATGCAGAAGATAATGAGATGAAGAACCCACTTAAGGGTGCATAAGGCCCTACCAGCTTCTGTCTCTTCTGGCCCGTCGTAAGATTTGTCAATGGCTGCTCGGAAGCTCTCATTGCAGCCCCGGCCTCGCACCATGTGTGGTCTGGGCCTGTGGAAGGGCAGATCATTCTTCCTGACTTCAGCCACAGCAGTCTGTAGGCTCTCCAAGGAACTAGACTTTTTCAGACCCAAAGTTGGACCAAAATCTTTGCCTGGAGAATCTGGAAGAGTAAAGGTGAAAGGTCAGCTTTTTCTATGATAGAGTAGTGTGCTATGGTGGAAAGACTCATTATTCTGAGAATAGTTCTGTTTGGGAAGTTTCGAAAAGACAGAGTTAAAGTCAGTAAACATTGGTAGCTGAACTCCAGCTTTGCCATTGTCCTTGGCCATCTTGGGCTAGTAGGCTGCCATCTCTGAATCCGTTTCTTTTTCTACAGCTGTGGTAAGTTTTGAGATGACAGTATTTAAATTTGTTTTACATGGGATATGTATGTGTATATATGCACACATAGGTATACATACATGTGAACTTGAAAAGTCACTAAATTAGTTACTATCTGTAGATTGTATGCTTGTGAGGATATACATCCACGTACACAGATATGGTTAGAGAGACACACAAACTCTATGTAGAACAGACTGGCCTCAAAATCACAGAGATCTGCCTGCCTCTGCTTCCCAGGCTGAGGCACCAAGACTCATAATCCACCTAACACAATAAATGCTTTCCTGTAGTACTGATCAGAGTCACCTCATCTGCTGGACCTGTTACTACTGCTAGAGTTGTTTATTTGATTGGACTGGAAATCAAGGACCATCAGTGATTAGAATTTTCATATCTAAATTCTTTACATTATCCTAGAGACAACGAATGCATGGTGAATGAAATTTATTTAGTCTGTGAATAAAGCAAAACAAGCAAAAAAAGAACTTCTCTAAGTGCCAATGATCCAACTTTAGTTCCATTTGGAATGCAGGAAAGGAGCCTCCTTTTAATATAATAGACAATTATAGCACAGAGAAGTAAAACATAAGAGAGCTTTAAGGGCCTATCTTTTACCATAGACTTATCTTCTTGTACAATCTGTCTTGCCCAAAGCCTGCTCCCCTCCCCTCCATTTCTCGACCTCCACTCCTGCCAGTCTCCTCATTATCAATACAAGATTAAGGGATGGAAATATTAGTAGCCCAATGGTTACTTACAAGATAGAAATAATTCCATTAAGGCTTTTGTTCTGCATTCACGTTGTTCTACTAAGGCCTAGCTGTTCCCCTCCAGTTACCAGGGAGACTATGGTCACCAAGAGTGTGCACCATGTTTCTGTAAATAATGACTGTGCAGCTTGTTCACAGATGTGGCCTGAGCATATAGTAAGCATCATGTCTGTGAATATCTACTTCAGTGTACACAGACACTCTAAGGCTTGGCAGATACCTCTATTTCTTAATATTGCTATCCCTGTTTTTATTTCTACTTCTGCTGCCACCACAGATGTGACTCTAGCTTCTCACTGTGTATTACAAAGGATATAAGACAAGGCCAGGCAGCAGTGGTAAGTCTAATGTATGCAACAGCTACAGAAGTTTGGTTAGCAGCACACACTTCCACCTTCGCTGGAATATGTAAAGAATTATAATAATGACTAACAATGTACAGAATTCTCGTAGTGTCCCAAGCACCTTCCTGCCTTTTACTGATACTAACTTACTATAATCCTTTCACTTGTGGCATTGGTACTAAGAAATCCTTTGGGAGCTAGGGAATCAAATTTAAGTCTTAGGTATGCTAAGCAAATGGTCTATTACCAAACTAAATCCCTGGCCCCTGTTAGCATTTGTAGATAAGAAAAGATAGGGAACATGTTAAAGTTACATAGTTCACATCCCCACTGCACTGAGCAGAGACATTCCAACTGCAGCCTTTCTGTTCTGTACCACGGACATTACAACCTCAGCATATGTTCTGTACTTGCCCTCTACTTGATTATGGTTAGGATTCTTAAGCTGACCTACATTTTCCTCATCTCCAAGTTAAAAACAAAACAAAACAAAACAAAAAAAACCAAACAAACAAAAAAACAAGCCTTAGATGAGCCCTGGAGCCTACCCGGTCAAGCCAGCACACTGCAAAAATTGGGTATTACTTCATAGTTTCATCATTAGCTTACAGGAGGCAACCTCACACTGTGAACAATACACACAATGACAATAAACACCACATTTTATAGATGACAGTGCATAGTCAATAAAGGAAACTGAGAAGAGACCGAGAAAAATACAAGAAAATTCAGGGACAAATTGCAGGTGCTATTTGCAAGCATAAATACTAAGGCTGTGTTACTGTTAAATCCAGAAAGAGGCACTCCCCCCATGCACAGCAAGAAGGTGAGATAAAAAAAAGAATCAAGTAAGATCATTTCTGACAAGGAAAACAAAAGACAACACAGGGGTTTGGGAATATTGAGACAACAGTAAAAGCTTTAGAAGGTACAGAAAATATTTTTTAGCATCAACCCCTAGGGATATCTGGCATGAAACTTGGTAAAAACATGAAGGAAAGAGCTAACTGAATAAGCCTAGATCCTCTGTCAACAACAGCAGCCATCTTTTATTTATTAATTGCCACTCGGGAGATTATATTAGAGCCCAAACTGTAAGCATTCACATCAACCTTTAACAATAAATTCCAGGGAACTTGAAAGTGAATAAATCATCCAAGATATGAGGCATGTTATCTAAAAGGAGCCCACCTACCTCTCAGCAAGCATTTCTGAGGAAGAACAAATACACAGTTACTGATTCTAAGAGAACTGGGTGTAAGAGAGTCATGGATTTTGTTGATATAAGAGTTGGTAATTAATTTGTGTGTGTGTGTGTGTGTGTGTGTGTGTGTGTATGCATATGTGTGTGTGCATGCCTATGTGTGTGTGTGCATGTGTGTGTGTGTGTCCCCATGCCTTAAGTGAGAAACTGCAAGTGCTGCTGGGCACCATTAGACCCTAAGACACATAGTAAAATTAAAATAAAAAGAGAAGTTTGAGTTCTAGACTTTAAATTTGGGCCCCAGGGTTTTCTCCTCTAGGGGGACAACAAGAATTCTGTTCATTCCTAGGAGTAAACAAAGGAAGAAATAGAAGAAACATTGATGTTAGCTAGAAGAGTCCTCAAACCAGTAAGGTCCTTTTAAGGATGTACAGGTGCTACGAATAGACCGGAATGGACCTCCTGAAGTTGGGAGGCCTTGCTATAAACCTGCACTAGGGCCTTATGTATTCTTTCACACTAGGTTAAAGTTGCCAGGGCAGGGAGGTGTCAGTTGGTGAGCATCTAACTCCAACTTAAGTCTCAAATGAAACACTTGAAGGAAAGTACCCTAGCAGGAAGAGATTTGTGGAGAAGGATGGATTGTTCCATTCAATCTCTTCCCTATGGCTACCCTCCTCAGTTTTGGTTTAGGCTGACAATGTGCAGGAAGTTTTACAGCTTTTGGGATGAAACAGTTCCCATTCTATTTCTTGTCTCACCATTTACATACACAGATGATATTTTTCCCAGGCTCCCTATAAAGGTAGAGGTCCCCTTAAAGAAAGTAATAGAAAATGAGCAATTTATCAAAGTCAAAACCTCAGCTATTCAAACCCATTGAAGTCATCCTCAAATATGATGACTCTTCACGTTTTCCTTTATGGCTGAAGTGATAGAGGCTGTGGCCGATTATAAGGAATTGTCTGGGCAGTGATCTATGGATACCAGGTGTTATTCGTCATGGGATGGACCTTGTCCAGATTTGAACACTTGTTTGTCTCATTTTGAGTATTCACAGAAGTCATTTGTGGTCGAGTGTTTGGTGATTTCCAGGCCAGTTTGAGCTAGTTGCAAATGCCAACCTTTAGGGCAAAGTTTTCATTTTTCAGACTTCTCTACCAGGGGGCCATGGTCTCTATGCTTTAATGAACTTTCTGTTCTCTCACAAAGATAAATTTGACACACATGAACGTCCTGAAGGAAATGATACAATTATAAAGAATGTTAAAAGAAATATCTCACTTAATAAAAATAATCCTTGGGTGTTATGATAAAATATTCTTGGACAGATTCACTCACCTTCTTTCAGAAAAATACAGAATCTAAACAACTTCAAATCAAAACCAGATATAGCCATCAGAATGGATGGGTGTATAAGAGTATACAAGACAGCCACATTATACCAAGTAAGGTCCAGGAAACAGCAGGGTGGGGAGGTGTAACTGTTATGAGAAAGAGCTGTGAATGTGGCATCTTCTGGGCAAGGCACAGCCAGTTTACTCATGACATCACAGCAGCTATGGATATATGCACCAGGTGTGCACAAGGATGGGCTAGGGGCTTTACCTCTTACTGCTGAGCTGTTCATTATTGATAGATCAGTAAAGGGGTTAGTACAGCTCTTCTGTTTTGTGCCTATTGATAACCCGACTAGACTCTGGTGGATAGTTCTGGCACAGTGGTCACAGAGAGGCTTGGTTAATTTCAACGCATCACAAAAAACTAAGTGTCATGAATTGGGGAAAGGAAACTGGTAGGTATGAGGGGAAGTTTATAGGGATGGGGTAATATAGAAAAGAGTATGGGAGAGTAATCAGAATATAACATATGTTGTATATCAATTATATATTATATATTATATACATGTATGAATATGTGTAACATGTATAATATGTATATCATAGTGAAATGACAAACTTAACCAATCACACACAAATATATATATATATATATATATATATATATATGAAGAAGTTGTGCTGTCATTTTTCCCATAAAGAAGTGACATAGATGTCCCTGAAGAACTGCCTCTATAGTTCAGTTTCTGGCACACTAACCACCTGCTTATAGGAAGTCATCAGCAGTTCTCATGGACAGTGTAGGTGCAGCAATCAGGGGCACAAAGGCACTTGGAATTTCTTTATTATGGAAGTGTATGGGGGAGTTAAAGTACTCATTTGGAGGTCAAATCATCTAATAGAAGTGCCAAACTTTCCTACCATGGAAACTGAACTTGTGAATGCCACCTAACCTTTCTTGGCTTTTTTTTGCTGATGGTATAACCTCAATGTCTTAGTTAGGGTTTTACTTCTGTGAACAGACACCATGACCAAGGTAACTGTTATAAGGACAACATTCAATTGGGGCTGGCTTACAGGTTCAGAGGTTCAGTCCATTATTATCAAAGTGGGAACAT